ATACCACACGGTCTTTGCAGGCCAATATGGGCTGTTTCAGGGGATGGGGGGACTAGGATGTCTTATGTAACTGAGCACCTCCCAAGAAGGGGGCCGGGCCCCACCTCCCCCACCTCCCTCCCCCCCATGCATGCGTCAGACGTTCTGCTATTTCATTCATACTGGGCCCACTGCTGCCTCCCTCATTTCTTTCCACGGGACCCGCAGCCTCGAGGCCGAGGGGTAAACATGCAGCCTTGCAGGAATCTGACTGAGCTTAGAGAGGTGGGGGTGCAGGGGGGGGGGCACCCCAAACAGCTGCTTGGCAAACTCACCCTGCTCCATGGCGTTTACTCCCAGTCAGTGATGCTGGACTGGCCCCACGCTTCAGGCCCTTAATACCCCCGGCATGCATGAGAAGCCGAAATAAACAATGCCCCTCTTTTTTTCCCTTCCCATGCTGGTCTCTGGCTAGCGCCTGACCACTTAAACATGGAGAAATGGGTGCGCTTTCGCTTTCCAGGCCAATTATTTATAGATTTTAGGAGAGGGAGGATGCAAAGGTTTGGACCGGTGACCTGCTGCCCCCAAAGGGAACAGGGACCTGCTGTTGGGGCAGGACGCGGCTGGGATCCCCCGAGAGCGGACCCAGGTGACCAAACTGCCAGCGGCTCCCCAGGCTACGGCACCTCCCCCGGACAAAAATTGACATTCCCACAAGTGACACAGGCTGCAGAAGGTGAGCGAGTAATCGAGGAAAGTTAAATGGGAAAACCAAGCAAATGAATGAGGTCCTACAACTGGCAGAGATTTGGGTACAGTTTTTAATGACCAGACACCTCAAAGCCCCTTGTCAGATCTGCAAGCGGCGGCTCCGAACTTCCTGGGGCATCCTGGGCTGCGATATGAGCCCCGGGTTTTTCCATCAAAAATCAGAAATCAAGAGTTCAGGTTCCCAAAGCTGGATGATAGGCTATGTCGTGGAATGCAGGTTTCTACAATATGCAAAGCTTTTTTTTTTTTTGAATAGCTATAGCTAAAAAAAAACTTAATCAATAAGTTGAGCCAGTGTCACCTCCCTGGGATTCACTCTTGCAGGTTTTCATTACCACAGACACTGTGAGCCAGCCAATCTCAATTACAATATGCTGCCTTTCATTTAGCCAATCTCACATACTGTAAGGCACCACCCATCTCTTTCATGGGGCTAGAGAGTGGCTCCTAATTTTAACATTTAGTGCTTTTGGATGCCTGCCCAAACTTGTTAGCCCGTTTGGGTTTATCAGAGGTTGCTCTGCTGGTTCCAGTGTGGAGGATTCAGGAACAGGGGTTGCCCAATTGGCCACCCCTGCTGGGATTTTGGTATAACCCAACTTTCATTGGATATACTCACAATTCTTCCAGGAAGTGGAGGTTGGACAGGGCGCCAGTGGGCAGCAGGGTGAGGTTGTTCATGCTGAGGTCGCTGTAGAAGGCGGGGGGGGGGGGGGGGGGGGTTAGGGGCAAAGAGAGGGAAAGTGTCAAGATTACAGGCCACAACTGCAGCTTCCAGCTGCTCATTCCACACATTGTGGAGTAATACTTCCTGGTAAGGAATGGCAGAGGGGCAGATGCCAGCCTGCCAAGGAGCTGGTGAACAGCCATCTCTCTCTGAAATTGTATTCCCATTTCAAAATATTTTCATGGCATGCCCCTTCCCTCCTCCCCTGCGAGTGGATTGGCCAGTCTGTGGGGGCGCGGCCATCAGAGGGAGGGGCCTATTGCCAGCAGTGTATGAAGTTTCAGGGTCCATGTGACTCAAACCCTCTGACCCTATTTGACAAGCACCTGATTTCCAGCCAGGGAGAAATGGAAAATGGACTGATGGCAATACATATATAGGCATACTACAATGTCCTGGATTCAATAGCAATAAAGTCAGTGTTTTGGCACAGCAGGGGCCTTATCCAGAAGGGGCCTTTATCAAACATAGATTGATTCAGGGAGTCATAAAAAATTGGTATGAGATCCATGGTCACACACACACATACACACACAGACGCGCACACACACCCATCCTAATCCTTTCATCATTCTGACACTACAGAACCTGAAAAGCGAACAGCCTTTCAAACAGCTAACTGTGACCAGCACACATACGTTTCCCAATGCGCCGCCGCTATCTCGCAAATTCGCTCTTATCGCCAGTTATAAAGGGGCCACACGGCTTTGAAGTCCCAGGACGAGCAAAACAAAGCTGCTGTGCACAGTCCCTACACACCCACCCCGCTTTACGGGGAGGGGGGGATCCATAAAAAGGGGTGATGCGACACCTCCCGTGCTTGTAATGTCTCACGATTGTAAGAACGGGAGTGTAGAGCCAGGAACACGGACAAAGCAACCAGATGAAGGAACACATTAGCACTTACGGGACTGTTTCATTTAGCCCTCCGTCAAAGGCTTTTTGCACAGATCTTAAAGCACTTTTTACCCTTCACTCAGTTGTCTCACCATGATTTATATGTCAATATTTTTATTTATCTTAATATTTCTACATCTATTTTAATTTTTTATTCCATTGTCTTTGTCTTGATTGTATCTTTACTTGTATACCTCATGCCACCACCTGCACCGAAGCAGATTCCTCATGCGTTCTGATTCTCAGAACATGGCACCTTGGAGGCTGTCGTGACCTTCACGTTGAGGTGGCTCCCTTAATGATTGACAGCACTAACTAAAACAGGGACCTGCTGACCTTATATGCCTCTGGGGGGAATTGGGGGTGGAATAAACCCAGTCCCTAAAAGCGTGGCTACCCGTCTGGGGCCGTGCCTCATAAACTCTCCAAATATGCTCCTCACGGTCGGCGCGTGATGTTCTTCAGGATGCCAGCGAATCACACCAGGGGTCGTCACTAAGTTGCTTAATTAGAAAATTCCACAGGCTACAAACAAACCCAGCTTCTTCTTAACACCCAGCAAGGGCAATCAAATGAAACTAAAGATACTTAAATTCCCGAATAAATACAACAACTGCTCGATATTCTCCAAAGAATCCAGATAAAGAGCTGACTGATTTAATTATATATAAGTACGTTTTTTTTGTCTTTAATTATCTTGATTGTTTCGAGAGCACACTGCTGGAGTTAAATCGTGGCTAAGAGGCATTTTAAATGATGCATTAGCTGAAACTCAAAGAGCTACATTCGTTAAGACCACATAAGAGTCGATAGTTTGCATCACAGCAAATGAGACAAGACTATTAATTAATAACAGATGCTGGGTGTGTGAGACATGGCATGAAACAGCTTTGTAACCATACATAGCTAAGGCACCAAAGAACATAAAACCGCGAGTTAGGATCCTGTGCCTGTGATTCGAAGACCACCAGTTTGAATCCTATGGTTGGCAGAGTGATGTCACTGTTGGGCACTTCAGCAAGACCCTCAACCCCCAGTTACTCCAGGGACTGTCCGGCCCTGCCTTCTCAATTGTATGCTGCTTTCAATAAAAGCGACTGTTAAAAAATGTTTTAGAATGTTGATACAATGATATACTACAGTATATCGGAAATGGGAATCAGATCACGTCAAAACTACGGGCGGGAGATGGAGAGCGGAGAGGAAAGTCAGGTGTCCTCTTTCGCCCATATTTCCCGACGAGCTGCACCTCCAAGCCACATTAACAAGATAAATGAGGCGCGACGCGAAACGCGATCTGACCACAGAGTCCGCGGCCGGCCGGGCCCCTAAACAGGAAGCGACATCGGGCGACGTTAATCAAACAGGCCAAATTTAAGCTGATTAGCTTTAATGGGCAGAGGGAGGGTCCCGGCAATTTCACAGCTCTCTGGGGGGTTTCCCAAGGGTCTAATGTATCGCTGCCAGCTCTTTCCAGGGAAAAGGTGGATTAGGAGCTAAGTGAGACCGCTTGACATACGGCGCCCCCACCCCGACCTCATTCCCGGGGAAGGGGCTCGGCCCAGACGGCGTCCCCGCCTTGCTCCTCGTAAGCAACGCGCCGCCGCGAACTCCACCCCCCTGAAGGACAAAAGTGAAAACAAAACAAAGGCGGGTATTGTTGCCTGCTGCTCCCTCACTGTCTGGCAAAGTCTAACTGATACCCATCAAAATGGTGTCACTTCTTTGGGGTCGTCTGAATGGTTCATCACCGAGCGGAGCCTGAGTGTCTGTGAGATACACAATAAACCACGGACAAACAAAGAGCTTTTCCTGTTTCTCAAAAACATATAGTGGCTGCCTGTCGCGTGGATCGCCTATCAAAGGAATTCCTGCTCGCTGAATGGGACGCTTTCGGGATATGCTGGGAGAATGAAGATCAAAAACACTAAACTGTAATCATGAAGGTCTCCGGCTGAAGCGCAGCAGATATCCTCCTGTATCATCCTGAACTTCAATCAGACTTAAAGGGAAGTTACTTATGCTCATCTCCCTGGCTGTATTTTTCGGTAATCCTGATCCGTGTTGTTGTCACTCACTAATGACCCTGGCATTACAGTGACCATGATATTACAGTGACTATTACGTTACAGTGACTATGATGCTAGAGTGACTCTGGCTTTACAGTGACCTTGGTTCTTCAATGACATTGAATTTACAATGACTGTGACTTTACAGTGATGATGGGTTTACAGTAACCTTAGCTGTATAATAACCATGACTTACATGGTTACTACATGTAAGTAACTATGATGTTAGAATAATTTTGGCTTTACAGTAGCTATGGCTGTACCATGACCTTGACTTTACAGTGACATTGGATTTACAATGACTAGCTTTACAGTGATGATGGGTTTACAATGACCTTGGCTTTATAGTAACCGTGACTTTACAGTGACTATGATGTTAGAGTGACTTTGACTTTACAGTGACCTTGGCTTTACAGTGACGTTGAATTTACAGTGACTGTGACTTCACAATGATGATGGGTTTTGCTTTACAGTAGCTGTGACTTTACAGTGTATTTGGCTTTACAATGACTTTGACTTTACAGTAACCATGATGTTACAGTGACCCAGGCTTTACAATAACCGTGGCTCTACAGTGACCTTGACTTTACAGTGACCCAGGCTTTACAGTGACCAATGGCTCTAGTCACCTTGGCTTTGCAATGACATTTACAATGAATTTACAGTGACTGTAACTATACAATGATGATGGGTTTACAGTGACCTTGGCTTTATAGAAATCATGACTTTACAGTGAATATGATGTTACAGTGACTTTGGCTTTATAGTAACTATGGCTCTACCGTGACCTTGGCTTTACAGTGACAATGAATTTACAAGGACTGACTTTATAGTGATGATGAGTTTACAGTAACCTTGGCTTTATAGTAACCCTGACTCTACAGTAACCATGACGTTAGAGTGATTTTGGCTTTACAGTGACTATGGCTCAACAGTGACTTTAGCTTTACAGTGACGTTGAATTTACAATGACGATGACTTCACAGTGATGATGAGTTTACAATGACCTTGGCTTTACAGTAACAGTGACTTTACAGTGACCTTGGCTTTAGAGTAACCTTGACTGTACAATGACTGTGACTTTACAGTGACCTTGACTTTACAATGACCCAGGCTTTACAGTAACTGTGGCTCTACAGTGACCTTGACTATAACAGTAACTGTGACTTTACAGGTATAAGTAGGTTTAGTTTTACAGTGACCGTCACCTTAAAAATACGCTAACAATCCTAGAATAAGAACCAGCATGTCCCTTCAACAACGCATTACTGTATCTGCTAAAGGGGGCAAACCTGGCTGTGGAGTTTGAGTTACACCACAGATGGGACACTAATGGCACATGTGCCAGACTCTTCCCAAACGTCAACTGGAGGGAGCATCTGAAAGCCAAAACTGCTGAAAACAGTATTCCACCAGGGATGTGCAGACAGTAAATAAAAGCCTGGGTACTAGATCAACCCCTGGACCATCACTGCTTTATTTAAGGTGAAATACATCAGTAATGTCTCACAATAATCAAGATACATTTCATTGGTCAACCTTTCATTGATTATGTACAAATTCATCCATCTTCTGACCACTTTTAACTTACAGGGGGTGAGGGGGGTGGGGGGCCCAAGACTGGGGTACACCCTGAATGGGATGCTAGTCCACAGCATGGCACATACATGCACACACACACACACACACACACTCATATACTCCTATCATTGTGGGGACTCTCTATTCATTTCTTTGGGAATAACCCTAATCCTAACTATAATCAACACAAACACACACACACACAGGTTTGTAATTATATCTTTGTGGGGACTCTCCATTAATTTCTATTGAGAAAACTCTAATCCCAACATGACGACCTTAACCCCTACCCAGCCCTAACCCCATAAGTAACCAAACAAAATACAAGACTTTTGACATTTTTTAGTTTTTTGATTGCCTCCACAGATCGTTGGGGGGGCATGAAAATGGTTCCCACAACGTCAAAATAACTGGTTT